ACGCAATTTAGGTACTGGACCCAGTGTAACTTTTGTCAGCCTTACCATGATTGCAAGAAATTGATACTGACTTCAAATGCGGAAAACGATGTCTATAACTCTAATGCATTGCTTCGCACTACAAAATGTTGTCATAAAATTGTCATCATCAACATGCACGTGTTTTGGACATTTTTTAACTTCACTTATGGGACGCTATACATTTCATGATTGAGTAGTTTTGACCAGCGATTTTAGTGCAAAGAAACAAAAATAAACATTTGACCACTTTTCATAATTTTCGGCCACAAAGTCAAAAAACATTCGCATAGTCTGTTCTTAAGCGTTTCATTTTCTTTTCAGTATATTGTAACGTGTAACATAATAAAGGGTCCGTTTTCAGGAGATACAGGGTCTTAATATTACCCAAGTAAATATAACCTTTTCCTCTGGCTCTATCTGAGCCTATAATTATTCTGGGAATCAATATTATATACAACAATGATTATTTATTATTTTCATGGGATCCTTGTCCTTTGTTTTTTTTTTTTTTTTTTAAACAGCGGGATCTACAAGCCGAGGTTCTCTGTTACCAAGTACTACCAGTATGACTGGGTTCCTTGCACCCGGTTCCAAAACCAAGTTCCTATTGTAATGAGCACTCAGTACCTCACCCTTATTTAGGATTACTATACCTTGCACTTCACCGCAATTTCTTGGCTTACCATTTACCGGCGCTCTGTCCCCTAGCCTTAATTTTATTTCACTATTTTAATTCTTCTGTTCTAATATTACCTATTGTCTTCTTTTCAACTTCCCACTTCTTCTACGGGTTTCAGAATAGTCGAGACTGCCTCTGCTACACCATTCAAACAGGGGTGAACAGGCTCCTGGACTGTTCCATTATTCCAGGTCACACCAACGTTTGAATGGTATAGGCCCATTGCCTTATTCATTACTCATTACAATATCTTTGGTAAGCGAAAATAAAAATTAACCCGGGGCAAGACGTGGGTCACAATCAACGAGCATAAGAATTTGTAAGAAAATCTAAAAAAAAAATCTTCTTCTCAAGATTTATAAATCCATGATGCCATCTTTATATGGAAGCATCCGAAGGTAGTGTTAATTCTTACGTATTCAAATCCTGCATCGCAGGTAGGAAAGGAACAGAATGGGCGATGAAAGCTTTGTAAAGCAACAAAAAATCCCTCAACAATTGGTCAGTTATAAAACCTTTTCAACATTTCTTTACAACTTCTTTAGGAAATCTCCATAACTTCCAAAATCATTTCAAAAATTAATTTACAATATAATCATGATGTTTCATAAATGTAAAACAATTTATTGCGTTTCATTTGCTTTTCATTTTTTTTCAGCTAGAAATAAACTTATTTTTTGTCACACAAAATGGTTATGAGATAAGTACAATTTCTTTAAGGGTTAAATAATAGAATGGGGAAAAAATGAATTAATTTTTACATGTACAATATTTTTTATCGATTTAGAAAACCTAGCCCAGAACATTGCTTTCAAAGGTGCGGCATCAGGAAGTGCTAACAATTTTGGTAATAACATGTGGCAAGCAGACAAGGCGATTGATGGACGTCTTGAGATGGATTTTGGTGACGTAACCTGCAGTATTACTACGCCCTTATCCTACAAGACGGCATGGTGGAAATTTACTCTGAAACAGTTGTCTAATGTGGCTTACTTGAAAATTTTCTTCAAAAATATCAGTAACCTTCATTTCATTATTTAGAATTTTAAGAATGTAATATACATTGTGCCAGACTTTTGATATAAATTCATGATTTATTCCTCGAAATAAACCCCGAATTTCTATCATAAAAGACTAATATAAATAATTTGAATATTTTTATGAAAGTACAAAGACAAAAATAATATACTGCAGTAACTTTTTTAAAAATGTGGGCTTATATATAAAATGTAGAGTTTTATATGTATAGTTTATTTTAATCTGATAAAAGGCTATTACCAACACTTAAGGTTGTATTGACACAGATTTGTACTTCATATTTTCACAATTTTTCTGTATAATATTACGACTTATATACATGTATTGTAAAAGCATTTCACACTAAAATATAATAAAAATATTATTTCATCTCGAAATTATTGAATTTTCGAATTACTGAACGGGTTTGATTGACACATCCTTAAACTTGCAAATATTATAATTTTATTTTTAGAACTTAAGAAAAGTGACAATTTTGTTGTATATCAATGAAAAATATTAAAACAATGATACAGAAAATTCAGAGAAGAAATGTTCGAAAGTAGCCCCCCCCCCCATTAGTATCGTCAGTCAGTGCTCATTGTTCTGTACAGAATTTAACAAATTGAATATACCCGTGAAACATAAACTGTTTTCGTAAACAGGGCACCATCTCTGTTATTGTTAATGTTTACGATTCACTGGATGTGTTCAATTGTTAAAGTCTGCATACACCACCGAGCACGGACTGACATTATACTGTGAGCGCGTTTTCCTTTTCGAACATTTTCACTCTGAATTTTCTATATTATATTTTTTAATTTTTTTATGAATATAGTTTTTCATTTATGTCATTTTTCATAAATATTAAGAATAAACTGGTAATTTGTGAAAGTTCAAGGACTTGTCAATAGAAATATATAAAGATATGTAAAAATCAAAGATAGTTTTTAACAAATAAAATACAAGACATAAACACTTTAGGTTTGACAATAACCCTTTGATTAACATTGTGGAGAGGAATAATTCAAGTTAATGTACGTTTGTTTCCTTATGTTTGATTTTCTACAATTTCAGCTGTAAATCGCCATACTGGATTTTCAGTATTTGTGTTCAATGAGACAACATACATACCGCCATCTTCTAAGGGAGACATGGTTTACGTTCAGGATCCGTCTTCCTGTCCCAAACAAGTGATGTATGTGACCGTCAATAGAGTGACTCAAGGAATAGCTATATATAACTCAAAGAATCCTCCAATTACAACAAGTTGCGTCGGATATGCTCCGCTATTTGCAACCATTGAGATCTGTGAAGTTATGGTTTTTGGTACGTACTGTTTGGAGACAGGCACTAAATGTTCATTGTATTTTAAAATCAGTTTATTTATATCAGCATCTATTAAAATATAAAAATTCCAAAATCCAGAGTTCTGATTAGAAATAATGAGATATGTCGTTAATATTGCCTGTTGGAGATTTCTGTAGAGAAGTCTGGAATTCTTTTAACATAAAAAAGGACGAAAAAATCTTCGATCTGAATTCAATATCCATAACATCATTAATTAAGGTTAAATATTTTTATGCCAAAAAATATATGGATTATAAACAATGCACTGGAGATATCCATATCATACGTAAAATCTCAAATTTTTGTGGAGTCAAATTTTCAAGGTTTGAGGAAAAACTATTAATTTTGCGGTTCGAAAATGTTAAGTAGAAAAGCATTTAAAATTAATATTTCATGGTGGTTAACTCTTTACAACTTACTGCACTGTGACGCAACATACACTTAAAATACACGTCATAGAAATATTACAATACCCTTTCCCTTCAAGCACTTATAGAGCGGTTTCTCTAACGTTATGCATAAATACATTATATCTTATTACGATGGTAGTTTTTTAATTAGATCATAACTTTTCTTATTTTGCCAGATTTAAGCATGTATAAAATAAAAGGAAATTGACAGTTTATTAACTTCAGATTAAATTTACTTTTGAAAGTGCGTGATTGCGGAGAAACGGTTTATACGTGGTTTTGCGTCAGAAATAGGAAATGGTATATATGCATTAAATGCGTGATTTCGGGAAAGGGGGTTTAGAGAGAAAGTCCTGTTTAGATCAATTTGCAGACAGACATTTTGTATTCAACAGGCGTTGCTAATACAAGAAAAGTTGTATGATTTATTTAATCACTCTCAAGCAAATCTATAATTGTAATTTTTAGTTTATCCTGAATAGCATATCTTACTGCATGATCTATAATTTACTTAATCGTCAGACCGAAAACAGAAGTCTACTCATGAATTCATATTGATTGTAATTTACATTCTATGACATTACAATGTACTTTAAAATGATAACTATATTTAGGGTGTAAATCCCAACACTATGGAGAAAACTGTTCATTGTGCCCACTTCATTGTAAGGATAGTGAGTGTGATGCTTTTAACGGATCCTGCAAATATGGCTGTAGAGAACGATTTATGGAACGACTTGATTGTTCGGGTAAGTATATCGATATAAATACAATCTAATTAAAATCAGATGTTAGATGCGCTCGCATACTGGCTGCACAAACATCTAACAACATCCCATAGAGGGATGCTTAAAATCATCGGGTATGTCTTGAAGCAAAGAAGTCTAGAGTTGTTCCTAATTTGACCTCAGATGTGACCCTCTATGGATCAGATTTAGTGTAGTGAGTATTCGAGCGGATCTAACATCTAACTTTTATAAGATTGATATAAATATGACATTAAAGAATTTTTGCTAGAAGCATGACTTTTAAAGTATACTGTTTACTTTGACATTGATCATGTAAAGATACATAATTGATAATAGATAAGAAAACCTTTCTAGTGGTCATAGGTAGTACATCAAATGTTTTAGGGGTACTAACATGGGAAGGCCAAGAGTTGAGGATAGGGTGGTTGTCTTTTTTTTACGACAGCTTACTTGTGTGTTGAAATAACCCATTATTTTCGTTGTATTAAATATTGAGCTAGATAATTATCTATATAGTAAAAGATCTTCCAGACATTGTTATAATGTAAAAGTAAGCACTCAACAGGAAAAAATCTGCGCTCCTTGGAAATGTCCATAATTTTGCATAGTTGACGATTACTCGATACATTTAATTATTTACAGTGTAAAAATAATGCCCAGAAAACAACCTTTGTGTGCAATATATGAAAAATTGATTTTGTTCTAATCTGTAAACATATTTGTTGTCCGTATATGCTTCAGTACTTTATGTTATAGTATGTATAGATGGTTATTATGGATTTAACTGTGAACAAATGTGTGGTAACTGTAAAACTGGGACTATCTGTAACAACGTCACAGGAGTCTGTTCTGAGGGGTGTCTACATGGCTGGGGAGGATTACATTGTGACGGTAAGAACTGGTATTATTTGTATGAAATATATGGAGACAACAAACAGTATCTAGGCTCAAAAGTCCAGTATACAATACGAAATTGGAGCAGAGCAAACGCAGACCTCAAAAACATGAGAGGTGGGGTCAAATACCATGACTCACTTAAATCTGCTTTTTTCTATAATTCGTGGTATTTTCCCTTTCGTTATAATTAATTGTTTTTTTTTTGTTTGTTTAATTTTCATTTCTAAGTGTGTGAAAAAGGATTCTATTGTGGCAACTGTACGGAGACTTGTGGTAGTTGTAAACCGGGGACATATTGTCATAATGTAACAGGAATTTGTCCGGAAGGATGTGATGATCATTGGAATGGTTCTTTTTGTAATGGTCAGTAATTTTTTTTGGAAATAATTCAAAATTATACTGCAAACGTTTATTTGATTACAACAAGAAAATCTTAGTGGAAATATAAAGCACAGTATTCTACTGTATTTTCCTTGTCACTTGTGAAATCTTTCTTTATTTACGCTTCTTCATTGTTTTTTTTTTTACCAGTTAATACTGTTATTACTAGCAGATTGATGACAAATATAATATGCTTTCCGTAATCAGAGGACTGACTCCGTACCCTAATCAAAATTAAAGCGGAATGCGATATAATAATTGATCCCGATTAAAGAATATATAAGGTTTTCTCGAATGTTAAAAAAAATAGGAAAAACGGGACATGGGAAAAATGGTTTTAAATGGGACACAACTTACTTTATTCTCCGTGTATTGAGAATCTAAAGGTTTTAATTAGTCGATTAATTATTTCTTTACAAAAAAAATATTTGATAACAAAAATATGATAGTTAACAACAAAGAGTTGTCAAGAAATATAGGTACCATCATAGCTAACATATCTTTATTTGTTTTGTCGAAAATTCTAGAGCCAGGAGATTGGTTTTTTTAACCCCCTCCCCCTTTTAAAGAAACATAAGAAAGTAGTAAACATTGTTTTTAATTAAGGAATGGAGCTAATTTCAACTTATGTTATACGATATAACATAACTAGGGGCAGTTTACACTCTATAAACCGCAAAGCGTTTTAGAAAAAAAAAAAGTAAACTGCCCCAAGTTTTGTTATATCGTATTACATAAGTTGAAATTAACTTCATTCCTCATAATTTAATTTCAGTTCTAGTATAGAAAATAAGACAAATTTTCCTCCAGAATAAGGTTTCAAATTGAGCACTATTTTAAAAGTAACGTCAAGCGGAGTAATACGTTTTTGACGTAACTCATTGTGACGTAGGCAAGTTATGTTATCCAAAATATTTTATGTTCCTTATAATGCTTCAGCCAATGAAATAGCTTGATACAAGTGAAATTAAATTATATTAAAATCAAATGACATTTTTTTAGTCTTTTTCTTTCAGAATATTAAAATGTTACCTAACAAATTAAACGAATGTCTACATGAATCTAAAATACAAAAGACTGTAAAATTACAACTTCTAAAATTCAAAAATTCAAAATTAGAGGATAAACGAAAAACTTGTATTCAGTCTCTCCTAATTTTGATTGGTATTCAGCTATTAAATTATTAGCGATACGCTTTATTACATTCAGCTTTCAAACTTTGTTTTGAAACAGATTGTAAGGATGGGTATTACGGACATAATTGTACACATGTCTGTGGCAAGTGTTCCCTTGTAACCTCATGCAACCACGTAACGGGTATTTGTCCGAACGGATGTCAAAACCACTGGAATGGATCAAAATGTAACAGTAAGTCCTTTTGGATCTACGTCATCGTAAATTATAAGCAATATATACTGACACATTTGCATCAAAATTTTTCATGTTTATTTCAACAAAGATATATAAGTAAAGTGGAAAGGTAGCGACACGAAATATGGATTAACTTAACAAATTCCATTACATAACGTATATTATAATTATTTCTTAAATATGCGATTCTTGATCAAAACCTCCTACCCAATATCTATTTTGTGGGAACATCTTCCTCTTGTTCAGGAAACAATGAATCAAGAAAAAGTTTTTTTTAATAAAATGTGGTTATTATGACTAAATATACGATATGTTTCAGTTTGTGCTGATGGTTTTTATGGGGTTAACTGCGAGAGTAACTGTGGAGAATGTCTAATAGGGACAATCTGTGATCGGTCAACGGGAGTTTGTCCTAATGGTTGTAGAGGGAATTGGACAGGTCCTAAATGTAATGGAATTATTGTTGAACGAGAATCGACGAATATATGCCCAGGTGTGATAAATATATGTACATATATGCATATGTCAAACATACTGTAAACCAGCAAAATATACATAGCCGTAAGATCACATGCATGTAGGGGTGTTGTACGTTGAAAACACGAAAAGAAAAGTTTAGCATAAGTATCTCAGATAAGTGTAATTAACCTATTGAATTGTACTGCAAGAAGTAAAGAAACTTTTTGGTATATATTCTGCTTCATAGAAATAAAAAATAAAGGCCTATTCAACATATAACGCTCTTGAACAATTCTGTTGGAGGTATAAGGAAATTTGGCAGCGCTCTCAAAAGTTCGCTCTGTTGAACAGGCGTCGGGTCGACAACTTGATAACGCTTCGCGCCCATTGGAATTTCAGTAGTTTCGTCGAATTTTGAAAATGTCTCTATCCACTTAACTTTAACAATATACTGTTGAAACAAAAGCTTTTATATTTTATCGACTATAGTGGTTAATAATCTTTAAAAAGAGTATACTGTTCAAACACATACTTTGACGTATAAATGTCAACACTTTTTTCTTCATTCTTTTAAATTTAATTTTCATTAATTTATTTTACATACTAATTACAAGTCAATAAAATGATTGTCCTTAAAATTAAATAAATTAAAATTAAGCTTTCTTTTTGTAATCTCTATCCTTTACCTTGTAGAAGACGAAATTCCAAAGACATCGACAGTATTTATTTCCATTTTTTCGACACTTCTCTTTGTTTTCCTTATATACGTCGGAGTACGAATTGTAAACAAGAGGAAAATAAGAGAAGATCAAAGGAATAATACAGCAGCAAAAGCCGTGGATAACTCGCAGTTCTATAATGAAATAGCAGATACAAAATACAATTCCTACCAAAAAATCAGTTCCTCACCAAAGGAATCTGATTATCAAGAAATCACTATTACAACAATATAGAGTTTTATAGCAGTTACTAGATGCGATAGTTTATTTCAGATTCTTCCTATTTTTGTGATTCTTTCTTTTTGACCCAATAATTATTAGAACCGTCTTCGAGAGAGAACAGGCGTAGTCGATTGTTTACGGAGAAATTATGGTTTCACCGATTGTGTAGATATATAGGACTTAATATTAACCTTAACCATAAAATGCGTTTGAACCTTGTGAAAACTTATACTCAACTGAATTGATCCAAGACACGCCGATATCGTATATTTTGCAGTTTAAGTCGAAATTAAGACGCTTTTACCTTTTAACTAACTTTCAGCATGATAGTCCATTATTTTGTCTTCAAAAAGGAGTGCTATCCATGAATTACATAAGAGGCATAAGTGTCGGAACGGGGGGAGGGGGCATTTTTATGCATTGATAGACATAATATAGGTATTGGACATTTGGGCGTAGGTTAACCCCTCTCCCTCCCCTATCTTTCAACAGGCACCTTGCTGTGGATAGTAAAAGAAGGATAAGTGGTAGTTTTTGAAAAAAAAAAAAACAAAAACATGAAGTGAAAAAAATCGATCCTTTCCCCACCTTCCACTTATTCACCCACAAAATAGGACTTTTGAGTTTGGTCAATGGTTTACTTTTTTAAAATTCTCCACCAATTACTTATTAACCCCCTTCCCCTTTCAATTTGCTTCCGACGCCAACATGGCCAACGAGACTTGATTAAATCTGACAAAGAACATTTTGATTTCTAACATTCAAATGAATATATGTAATTAAATTGATTTAGTAGAATCTAGAGTTTTTAAGAAAATGATCTCACTAAAAATCCCTGGAGGTACGGTGGTCCGTTACCCTTTGGGATAACTACCTCTTATCTGCAACTCCTCATTCACCACTCAATGAAATTCAATATTAATTTCACATAAATGTAGTGCCATTGTTCTTTTTTTCTTACTTTTTTAATCGGAAACATATCACTCCTCTCCAATAATAAAAAAACCCATTGAAGCTGCTATTTTTCCTATAATATTGAAGACCCATCTCTGATTCGCAACTCCTTCTATACCACTAAATAAAATTTAATAAAACTTTCACAGATTCTTTATGATAAAATTAAACCATGTCTTTTTACTCAAGAACGAAATAAAAGTGCAAAGTGTATATGACGTATAAATACAACTAGTCCAGCAACCAATTACGGTATTTTGTATATTTACTTAAACAACATCTCTACTCGGTCAACTTTGATAACATTTTCACTTGTTTTCAAACCACACCACCAGAAATAAAAAAAAATATTTAAAAAACCCGATGACAACAAAACAATGAAACCCGCTGCACCACACATATGAAGTTGATAATTTAACTTAAAATAGATATACGTGTTTAATTTTGGTAACATCATGAACATGTATCATAACAAAAATTGCACTAAAAAGAATGTTATATATTTTATGAGTTTGCACTAATCGACTTAGAGAGATAACAGATGCAAACTCTGTATAATGATCTTTTAACCTGAACGATTTTCAAATTCAATTCATTAGAATGCGGTTGTTTACTTTTTTATGAGAAGATGTATTTGGGTTGGACGAAGAAGCAACCTTTGGGATTAAAGTGACAAGAGATCATGTGTTTTGTTAAATAATCTACGGCAAATATTATTTAACGATTAACACAATCCAAAACAAAAAGGGAAAATCAAAATTCCCTTTTTTTCACCCAAGGTTTACAATCTGAAGTCATTTTGGTCAAAAAATCCTTATATGTGTCTCCACA